AAAACTAGTTGGATATTAAACTAGACTCTATTATATGCTAATCACAGAAGAGTAAGTGCTAATTACAGAAACCAAGCTTCTCTGACAAAAGTACAAATCAGTAAGCCAGTGTCTAGTTTAGCAAAAGCACTGCTGGATGAGTTACTACAGGACGTGTGCTCTAAAAACTTATTTATTTCTTCATTGAAGATATTCTGAGCCCCAGCCGCATGAAAAGCCCTAGCTGGGCAGAGAGGGGGTGGTGACAGGAGCGGTAGCGCAGTCAGACATCTGCCTTCAGGGAGCGCACAGCTAGCGAGGGACAGCTTTCTTCTTGCTGAAACTCTCAAGTCTTGCAAAGTTTCCCTTACGTTGTTTGACATTCACTAATATAAGTAGATATCGTGAAAAAATCATGTGGTTTTTAGATTTAGGTATAGACGTAAGTTATAGATTTAGAATGGAGCCCCTGACCAATAGCGTTTGACCTGTTTGTACAAATTGAACCGTGATCTGAGGCATCTCCATGGCCTTTGCTGCCACCTTCCACGTCCTCTGCCGTGTTGTCGACCACAGTTAGCCACGCTTTCGGGTGACTTTAGGAATTCAGTCCCTCTTCCACTTTTATAACAGACTTAATTGTCAGCTTTTTCTAAATCAAGGTCAGTATTACCTCCCTTCAGCATCTCAAGCTTTCAGGTATTGTAAATGACTTCTTCCAAAATAATAGATCCTATTAGATCCTAGACAGAACTTAATGATTGGAGATATAGATCATGATCAGATTTAACCCAGTGGTGCTCTCAGGGATATTTTTATCCTAGAATAGGTGGCCATTGTAATAAAGAAAACCAGGTCACCATATAGCCTTCTCTCTTCTCGTAGTGCGTATATATATGTATATAGCTTTTTCAGTAGCATAAGAGCCAGTTATATCAGAAACCACTGTCTTCACTTTTAGGCTTTTAAAGTTATGGTGATTGCTGTAATCCAGAATCTTTAGACATCTACATTTTACCAGGGGTTTCTCAGGGTAGATATTAGAGTATTTTTAGTGGAAAGTTTCTAACTCTTTGTTTTAGTTACCTAGTTGAGAGTAATTGATGGTGTTTAGAGGTTATTGTCAACTTTATCTTTGATTTAGGGACAAGATCCACATATAGTTAAAGTACTTTGCCTCCAGGATTAAGGTCTTATGAAACTATTATTCGTTAAAAAGCTAGCTATGTCTTTGATTCTCTTTTTATTGAGGATGTTTGCTTTTTGGCAAATTAAACATACTCATAGCAGTTTTCTGTATGTGCTTTTCATCATGTTGTAAATACTACATGCAGAGGATTTATTTTTAATCCAGGAAAGCAGTTTTCAAAGAGGAGAGAGAATGTATTATGATAAAGGAAAACAGTAAATCAAATGATTAAATTTTAGTTGTAAAAGAATATGTTGCTGCTCTGAAGTAGTTTTACCATATTAGGGCAAATCAGGAATGCTCTGAGGAAAGCCAGAAAATATTGGACTGATAGTTACATTGAGCAAATCTTTAAAAATTCATTTTCTTAAGTAAGAATGGGGAAGAGTTTGTACAGAGATGATAAAAATAACAGTACAAGGGTGTCCCTCTGGCTAATCCCTTTTAAACGCAAGAAGAGAAAGTCATAAGCATAACACAGGTAAAATATGCCCAGAAAAAATTTACTAAATTTCAGTGCTTGTTCTCAACCAAAACTCTAAGAATAGATATGGAGAACTTCCTGTGTGATATAACAAGAAGGGCTTATTTATAACCATCTTAGGAGTTTTCCTGTGAGAATCGGTTAACCCTTCTAATGATCAGTCTTTAAATTAACTTAATCAAGCTTTAATGGCAGAACTCTCACAGCTGTGGAGCTGTTACAACTACACCCTGCTCCTAAGTAGTTGAGCTCAATTCTTGCCAGGTTCTTCCCTCTCATTAACTTCTCTAGCCCAGTCCCCAAAGTTTGAACCCCAGATTCTTTTCTATTTACAGAAAACACAGCCTCTTAGGTTCTTAAAATTAGACTAACTGGTCTACTCTGATGTTTCGTAAACTACTACTAGAGTTTGTAGTATATGGATTTTTAAGTTAGAATTTTTTAAATTTTATATTTTAATTTCACTGTTGAGTTCATAAAATTATTTTACCAATTAGAAAACAAAATGTCTCTTTTGCAGTGCAAATTCACAGTTGAAAAATGCTTCCATGAGAACGTAAGACTTGTTTCTGAAGTTTCTCAAGCTGGCATCTGAAGACCCCTGAGAATTCATATATTTCTGGGGTTTCACAGTAATTTTTATTTCAACTAGTCTGCACATTACAGTCGGCCCTCCGTATCCACGGGTTCCACATTGGTGGAGTCAGCCAACACCCAGATTAAAAATAGTCAAGAAAAACAAATTCCAGGATGTTCCAAAAAGCAAAACTTGAATTTGCCAAATATAGGACAACTATTTATTTACATACCATTTACATTGTATTAGGTATTATAAGTAATCCAGAGATGATTGAAAGTATACGGGAGGATGTGTGTGGGTTCTGTGCAAATGCTATGCCACATTGTATAAGGGACTTGAGTGTCCTCTGATTTTGGCATGTGTAGGGTTCCTGGAACCAATCCCCTACAGATACTGAGGGACAGCCATACTCAAGTGTGAGAAGTCCTGAGCCATTAGCTAGTCCCTCAAAATTCTATGTCATCTTTTTTCTTTTATAAATTGTGGTCATGGGTCTGGTGATTTAACATCCTTCCCACACCACTGTCCTGCACCCCAACCTAGTAGAAAAGTCACTTAGATACAATCTGAGAATTGCAACCGGCTCTTCTGATTGATACAACAGAGGCAGTACACAGCAGTGGAAGAACTAGAAGTACTTCGAAGTCAGCTGGGCCTCCTGGAATTCCAGCGCTCCTAGTTAGGAGAACTTGGTCATGTTAATAAGCTGATAAGTTAATAATACATCAGATTGGGGCAATAATGCCACCCTTGAAGGATTGTTGGTGAGGAATAGAAATAATCAATATACAGTGCTAACAGGAGTACCTCACACAGGGAGGCAGTCAGTGAAAGGTAGAGCTTACTGTTATGATTATAAACAAATATTTATGGACTAAGTTGTTATATCCTGATATAATAATGTGGATTATAACTTTTAAGACATGCATATAACATATATATAGTTTTGCCTGTTTAGAAGTATGGCACATGGAGCAAGTAACTCCCAAACATGGTACAGATTTAAAGCATAAGTTGTGTCAATTCAATCTTAGATAAATTAATGATGCTACACCTGTGACATAAAGAAAAGGTCAGCACTTTGGGGCATCCACGCATGACCTTTGAGAACAGCATCTTAGAAGCTTTCAGCTACGAGCCCCCAGCTATTGAGGCCTCGACCTCTGGTCAAATAAGCTTAGTAAGTGGATGGGTCCACATAAGAAACAGCCATTTTTCATGCTTTTGTGGTTTTTGAATCTGATACTGAGGCTGTTACTTCTGCTGTCTGTTACCCTGTATTTGAAAATCCTTTGGACATAAGGTCAGAAGACTAATATTTTTCTGCTTAACTAATACTCTTTTGTATTTGGTCTGGCTTCCTAGAAGCAGAGATTGGGGTAAGGATTTTCGGGAAAGTGATGTATTGAGGAGACTCTGAAGAGGAGGAGTGAGGGAAGCAGGCCAAGGCAGGGCAAAAGCTAAGCAAGGGTGTTGTTGCGCTTGGAGACGCAACTTCAGCCTGGTCCCACGGGGGTCCCAGGGTAAGGTCTGAAGGGGGGCGCTGGGGCACAAACGGCCCCACAGGTTTTGTCCTCCCTCGAGGCAAGGGGCGGCTGTTGTACCATTGTCAGTCGGTCTGGCTCCTGGCCACCTCCTAGGAACAGTTGGTGCCCTCACCTTGTAGTAGAGGTGGCTCCACATCTATGAGCCATTAGCACCCAGCGCTCAGAACAGCTGGGGAATGGGGGGGCGGGGCAGTATGGCAGCAGCAACGGCCTCTGTTGGTTTCCTCCAGGAGACAAAACTATCAGATTCCTTATGTGGCCTTCTCCGACTTGGTTGTGTGGGAAGTTCTAAACTACATTTCATATTTAATTGCTTCAGCAACCTTCAACCAGGATTATTTAATAGCCTTCTTTCTCTCTTCCTTTTCTTTGTCATTTTAACCTTTCTTCTTTATCTTTTGGTTTTTCTGTTTATCGGACCAGCAGTTTTATTGTAAGTTGACTCAAATGCTTTTTGAAAGTGGATGAGTGTAAAAGAAATAAATGTGTAACTAAAAACCAGTTTTATAATTAGAAAAAAATACCTGAGTTGTCCTCCTTAAAAATCAGATAAAATAAGTGTTGAATAGAAATAAGAGTTTTTACTGTTACAATCTGATTTAACATTAGTTATGCTTTCATGTGTACTCAAGAATAAAATAAGCAATAAGTATTATAAATCCAAGGAAGGAAGAAACAAAATTGCATTTTTGCAGATGACACGTTTTTTATATGTATGAAGCACAATGAAATGAACAAAATTATTGGAGGTAAGAGATATGCAACAGGGTTCTGCAAAATTATAGGCTATGATGGAAATCCGCAGACGTCAGTAAAGTCAGTATATTCTCAAGTCATATAGCTGAAAATATAGATGGCATTTGTTTAGAAAGTATCTTGACCGCTCAAAAGGAATATATACTTTCTGTTTTTTTTTTTTAATTTTTTTAAATTTTTGGCTGCGTTGGGTCTTCGTTGCTGCATGCGGGCTTTCTCTAGTTGAGGCAAGCAGGATCTGCTCTTCATTGCAGTGCGCGGGCTTCTCATTGCTGTGTCTTCTCGTTGCAGAGCACGGGCTCTAGGGCTTCAGTAGTTGTGGTGCATGGGCTCAGTAGTTGTAGCACACGGGCTCAGTAGTTGTGGCTTGCAGGCTCTAGAGCGCAGGCTCAGTAGTTGTGGCACACAGGCTTAGTTGCTCCGCGGCATGTGGGATCTTCCCGGACCAGAGCTCAAGCCCGTGTCCCCTGCATTGGCAGGCGGATTCTTAACCACTGCGCCACCAGGGAAGTCCAGGAGTATATACTTTCAATGCCTTCCTAATTCCCATGTGAAATCGTACCTTTATTTTAGCTATTCTGTTAATATGTAATGATGATACAGAAGAGGATGATCTACCAAATAAAATAGGTATAAAACATTTTAGTCTGTATGTCTGTATGCACAATCCAAAATCATTTACTCACATAAAAGATAACTTCCCACTTCATGAGTTATTAATGTACAATGAAGTAGCCTTTTTCCCCTTTACCACTGTATTATGAACAATACCTAAGCGTAAATGAACAAATAAATTGTTAGAAACAACAGTGTACAATGTTACCTTTGCACATTAGAAAATTCAATTTTTATTTTCTTATAAAGTGTTTGAATTACATATCATAATTTAACATCTTTTAAAGCATCTTTTATTCTTTAAGAATTCTTTTCACATCCATTAACCAATTGAAGCAGCTCATTTATAAAAACATTTTTGTTAACATGAGTCAAACCTAAAAGAAAAAAAATGACAACTTGAAAGTAACCTTTATCATCCAGATACTAATCAGTGCGATATTAAATGATAGGGGTAAATCAAAAATGATAGAGGAAAATGAACTTAATCTGGAGAATCCTCTTATTAGCAGCCAGAACAGGGCAGTTCTTAAGCCATTTTAAAACAAACTCTTCATGTTCTCACTTAGCTTGTACTTGATGCTTTACAAGTCCTAGAGATTTCAGTTTGGGTTTGGTTTTGCTTTGCTGTGGTAGCATTTACCAATTTCTTTTCTTTATTTCTGCCTAATCTTTGAATGCCATATTATATGGAGATATTTTTCCTAAAATGTCAACAGAGCCGGGGAGATGACAGTAGGTGGGGACTTGGGGTGGCCTGTTTGGGCATCCTGTGAAGGAGGCGGGCAGCTCCTCCCTGCGTCGTAAGGCGCAGGCTTATAGAGGGGCTCGAAAACAGAAGCAGGTGACTGTGGGGTTGCCAAGGAGAGGGAGCAAAAGCAGAGGGTATCCTGGGTTAACACCAGGACAAGGTGCTTTTTATACTTGGCAGTGGAGCTCTTTTATAAAATCCAGTGAAGTACCAGTTAGGAAGATGTATCAACAATTTATCTTAAAAAGGAAAAAAAAAAAGCCATCAATTCCATTGCCTTATTAATATAATCAGAACCTCTTTCCATTATAAACCTTTAGATAAAACATGACAACAATAATGGAAAAATCATCTAAAACAGATATAATTGTACACGAAGTTTGTTGGCATTTCGAACAACTTCATTTTTTAAGTATTTTACATTCTTTGTAGAGAAACGCAAGCACAATTCTTGTATTTAATCTAAAATAAAGACAGAAATCACAGCAGGCACTTAAGTCATGTGCATCCCACAGTTATTCACACATAATCCTTCAGGCTGTTTGCTGAACGGTCCTCTGGCTGTGTGGTGGGGACGTGCTCCTGCTTGGATGGGTGGAGCCAAGCCTCCGAATCCTTTTTTATACAGAAAATCATGCCAGAGATAAACAGCAGCATGGCCGAAATGAATCCAATGTAGACAGCTCCTCCGGGTTCATGTTTGTTGCTTTCTGGAACTGTCACATCCACAAAGTTTGCTATGATCTCCTTTGTGTACCACACCGTTGGTATTAAACCAGAGATCCCCGCAGATATGAGGCAGACTCCCCCAGCAAAACAAGCGTAACTCTTGGTTTCCCTGTCCCCTCCTAAGCGAATGCATTTCATCCCGATTGTGGCAGTGCACATCCCCACAGCAGACAGGACACAGGCCAGGACCATGGCGGCCCGAGCGGCCTGCACGTGGGTGGGGAGGGCCAGGACGGAGTACTTCAAGGTGCAGCTGAACATCCCGGTGCTATACCACGTGCAGTCCATCCACAGCCCTTGCATCTGCACGATGGCTGTGATGATGTTGGAGCCTGGGTCCACATTCACCTTCCAGTTGGGCAGCAGGGTGGCCATGAGCACTCCAGAGACCCCAGTTAAGGCCAGGGCAAAAGCAAGGAGCTGGAGACCCGCCGAGATCATAACGTCACCGTTACCTTTGTCCTCCTAGAAAATCCTGATGGCTCTCGCTCAGAATTGTAGCTATTTCTGTACAGTAGAGAACCAGGTAACAAAAGGCTGGGGAAAGAAGACAAAATCAGGGTTGAAAGAAAGAAAAAACAAAAAGACTTCTGTGTACAGTGGGAGCTGAGAACCCATCTGAATAGGTCCCAGCAGTGGATGAGGACACTGCTTCCCAGGAGAAAAGCTCACACCAGGCCCACAGAGGCTGCCATTGTCCTGAGTGATTTTGGTTGGGTGGTGCTTGATACATGGCATAAAGGAGAGGGCTGTCCACTTTGTTCTTTTATTTAAAATTTAAGCTCTGCTGAAGTTGTCTGTGTGCCTTGTTAGGAGATTTTAGACATGGAACGCCAGCTGTAGGATATCTGATATAGAATTTTTTTTTTTTTTTTTTTTTGCGCTACGCGGGCCTCTCACTGTTGTGGCCTCTCCCGTTGCGGAGCACAGGCTCCGGACGCGCAGGCTCAGCGGCCATGGCTCAGGGGCCGAGCCGCTCCGCGGCACGTGGGATCTTCACGGACCGGGGCACGAACCCGCGTCCCCTGCATCGGCAGGTGGACTTCCAACCACTGCGCCACCAGGGAAGCCCTGATATAGAATTTTAATAGTATTACAGGTTTTAAAAACTTATTTCTAGTTAAAATACTCTATAGGTAATAAGGAAGAATAGTTTAAACCCACCTGTTAAAAAGGATTTATAAATATATATTAGAAAAGTTTGAAGCATTCAAAAAATGATTTTATTTTTTAAAATGTATCAGACACTCTCCATGTGTCATTCACGTGGCCCAGGTGAATTGTTTAAGAAGGAGAAGAAAGTAGTAAAAGAAATCAAAGTCACTGGCATGATTATCTCTAATTTCCAGCTTGCAAAATCCTTACCTAAGTGAGCAGTTGTTTCCCTTCAGGTACAGCTTACTCAAAACTGAAACAATTAAGCCACTGTCTTTTGCTTAGGAGAATGTGAGATCCTTTCTATTTGGGACCAGAATCGTTCCCTGACCCAAATGAAGTAGTCTGCTGCAAAACCGGTTATTCAAAACGATTCAGAAGTAGTGACATTGAATCTTGCAAATACATACCAGAAGTAACCACATCATTATTTGTATGAGAGAGATTCAAAAATAATTTACACTTTTTTCCTCCCTCCCTCCCTTCCTTCCGTTTAGTAAGAGGGAATAGATAGTACTTCCTTTGTGACGTGCTGTGTTTTAATCAGGCAGTACTTACTGCCTTCTTTGAGGAAAATATAATGGTTTCTGAAATACAGCAATATTGACCTTTTTGTGTTTCTGAATTTTTGAGTGATGTATTAGAATGGCTCTATCATGATTCATATATTTGTCACAAAAGGCAGTATGAGCTCTGAATCTAAAGCACTTGGGTCAAATCTTGGCTTTCCAGAACCTCTCTGTGCCTCAGTATTCTCTTCTGGAAAGCAGGGAGGATTATAGTATCTATATCATGGAGTTTCATATACATGAAAGAATTTTAAATGGTATAGAACAATATCTAACCCATAGAAGGTACTCAGTAAATTACAATTGACATTGTTATTAGTATTTCTAAAATTTATATTATGTCACGTGACATTTGATATTTAATGACATCTGGATTTTTTTTTTTCTCTTCCTTCCTTAGGCCGATTTCATTTGTTTTCATAGGAACTTAGAGATGAAGGAAACCATAGATGTAATCTTGGCCATCAGTGTTGTTTCAGATTAGGACACTTAGGTAGTAGATCGCCCCACGCCACACAGACCTCAGCGGCAAGATCGGCAGTGCCCACTTCCCCACCTCTTCCCACCTCACTGCACCTTGCACCCTTGTCCCCCTTTACCACAGCAATTCCGGGTGAAATCCTCCTGTGTACTTCCTGTTGGAAGCAGGGAGAATGCTACATCTAGAGACAAAGCACCGTTAACCATCCCCTCACTCACTCCCTTTCTCACACAGAAAAAAAGACTCCAGAGGGAATTAATAGAGCAAATGAGCAAGTGGCGTAGCTTCAGAGACTCCCCAGGGAGGTTGATGCCTGGCTTTTGTGAAATATCTGCAGTGATGTGAATCCGTGCCTGCGTTACGTTAATACAGTTGCACAGTTTAATATAGTTCCAACATTGATGCCCTAAGAGGTTAAATCCTGGGCTATCTGAACTCCATTGTTCTACTTTTGTTCATAATCTTAAAACATAAATTCTGTAGTTTCAGGAGATTTCCCTGAGGTTTTGAATTCTTAGAGTCAGTTTCGCTCTAAGCATCAAAGTGCCTTGGCTTTGCCTGTCATCCTACAGTTCATTCTTTTTCTGTTTTCCAAATTTCTTTTCATATCTGAGACCAAGACAGAACGAAAGTTAAAGTTTCTAGAAAAAAAAATGAAGCACATGTTTATAGTTTCATAATAGCTGTTTTCAGGTTTGGGTTTTAACATTTCAGACTCCAGCCAGCTCACTCAATTACTGCCTTCCCGGACCATTTTCGGCTTAAGGGCTTCTTCAAGAGCGAGACTGCTGTTAGCATTCCCTGCGAGCATCTCCTTTCTTTCTTTTTACTTTGGTTGAGTAACCTTTATGTGTTGATCAGTCTCTGCTCAGCTTCCCAATTATAACTCTTTTCTTCCCATTAACCAATACATTTTATAAATTCCAGTGTAATTCAGACTTGGAGACAGCTTGTTCATCTTAATTAACAAGTGCTGGCAGTGATAAATTACAGATGGCCAAACTCGGCGTAAACAATAAGACATTGCGTTCAGTTAGCATGGTGCCCACTTACTATTGAATAGTGGACTTTAAGTGCTTTCTTCTGCATGGAGAACTTATGCAGAAAGAACTTGTTCTCCAAAATGAAGGTCACTCTTTTCCCTTTATAAAAATATACTGGCATCTTAGCTATATTGCTGTGAAATCTTTTTTTTTTTCCCCCTCCAGCCACAAGCATGGTACAGTTTGTGGCCTGTTCTCTCAGATTTCTGTCTCGTAGAGAATAAAGGCATACTTTGTTTCAGCGGTGGTGGTGATGGTGGTGACATGCTGTGAAAGTAAGCATGGAAAACAGTTCTAAATGAGAACTCTCTCGTGGTTCTAAAATCTGTTGCGTATAGAACAGAACCTATAATGTTAAATTTATGAGCTATTTCCCAAAGAAATTCTGAACTGGATTTCGTTAAAATGTAAAGTCAGTTTTCCAGACAAGATTTATTTATATCAAATCTAGTATTTAAAAACAGATTTACAATGTACGGTTCAAACCGAGTTATACTTGAAGATCTATATTTAGGTCCCGAAGCATTGTGGAAGCTTCTCGTTTTCCATACCTTTTGTCAGTAGCCTTCAGTGACTTAACTCTCTTCTGTCAGTTGTCTTCAATTGAACCCCAGTAAGACATGATGAAGAGGAGCCACATACCTGAGGCTCAGTTCACAGCTTCTGAATATTAGTGATGAAGCTCCAGTAGGTTAACTTGCAAGTAGCAAATGAAGAGCAACGTAGAAATCCGAGCAGGGAAAACTGCTGGTGGTGCCAGGAGATAAATACCGGGTTCCCCATCTCATTTTTTGAGCTGGGGGAAAACTCAGAAAAGAGAGGCGGGGGAGGGAGGGAGCTGTTGTTACAACAGGATTTGTCGAAACCTGAAAGCTGAAAATGCTTCTGTGTCACTATATACAGAGGGGGAGTTATCTGGGTGCTCACAAAAAGACTTTCTTTTCTTTTAATATTATGTTTTAGTCCATAGTTATAATTTACTTCTGAATTTTTATCTATGTTGGAGGATACCGTTTATTATTTTATGTCCCCGATGAAAGAATATGGTCTGAAATATTTTTCACTAGACTGTGCTTCGCAAGTGACAGTTAATTGAGACTGTCTGTTTATTCTGGTGCTTCTGACTTGTCTGAAATCAAGATTCACAAAATTGGTAACTTTCAAACTAAACATTCAAAAGACAGTTTTTTATATATCTTGATAAAAGTAGAAAGAAAACCCAGCAACAGCTGTTGACTAGAATCTGAGCAGTAAACCTACAAGTATTTTTTTTTTGGCGGGGGCAGGGGGGCGGTATCCTGAATTTTCTTCTATTAATCTTTCCACTGAGAAAGATTTCTAAAGTATAATAGATAGCTAGTGGGAAGCAGCCACAGAGCACAGGGAGATCAGCTCGGTGCTTTGTGACCACCTAGAGGGGTGGGATAGGGAGGGTGGGAGGGAGACGCAAGAGGGAGGGGATATGGGGATATACGTAAGCATATAGCTGATTCACTCTGTTATACAGCAGCAACTAACACACCATTGTAAAGCAGTTATACTCCAATAAAGATGTTAAAAACAAATAAATTATAACTTAGTAAATTAGAGATTTTAGAAAGCATTGTAAAGAAATTACACCAAAATAATGTGATGAAAAATATTAGATGAACCAAAATCAAACACTGAGGTTCTAGACCATGAATAATGGTACAGACATATTTCATCTTCATCTACTTTGGGTTCTCATTTTTTTTCTACCTCAGTAATGTTAATTCTACAAGCTGTACATTCATAGCCACTATAGAGAGAAAAAGATAATTTTATGATTGGATGTTTAAAATTTTACAACTGCTAATAGCCATGTTAGATGTTAGCCATTTCTTTAAAAGCAGTGAATAATAAAAATGCATGTTTCATATAGAATCTAAAAAAAAAAAATGGTTCTGATGAACCTAGGGGCAAGACAGGAATAAAGACACAGACGTAGAGAATGGACTTAAGGACAAGGGGAGGGGGAAGGGTAAACTGGGATGAAGGGAGAGAGTAGCACTGACATATATACACTACCAAATGTGAAATAGCTAGTGGGAAGCAGCCGCATAGCACAGGGAGATCCGCTTGGTGCTTTGCGACCACCTGGAGGGAGGGGATATGGGGATATACGTATACATATAGCCGATTCACTCTGTTATACACCAGAAACAAACACAACACTGTAAAGCAATTATACTCCAATAAAGATGTTAAAAAATATGCATGTTTCTGTTATCTGGATTTTTCTGGATTTTTTGTTGTTTTTAGTTGGTTTTCATCTTTTCTAAGTCTGGCATTTAGCAAGATACATATTGTTTTCTCCTCTTAGAAATCTAATGCCTGTGGATTTGTGTTTTTAGCCATAGTGTTGTAATTTTGCTTTATAAACTTACTTAATTTCATCGAGATACATAAACAGTTCTTTGTCTAAGTACTGAGTGAAGTAGAGTTGAATTTCAGGCACTAACAGCACTGTTACTACTGCTGTAGCAAGAAATCCACCAGGTCCCTTCAGTGCCTTGGCTTGTTTTGCTCCTTGCTGTGGCTGTCGTGCAGACTCACCTGTGCTGAGGCTGACTGGTGGCCGGTGGAGGGTCCAGTCTGCTCCCAGCTCTGACCTCTAGCGTAATGCAGCT